GCCGCATTATATTCACATACAAACAAATCGCAACTGTAAGCAATTTTTAAAAGAGGACAATAACTACAGTACTACAGGAAGCACACTATAAGATTGAATCTCCTGCATTATGCTCTACATTGATCTTCTCTATTTACTTGTAAGATGTCTTACAAAAAATGGAGGTTCCAAAACTTACATCTTCACAAAAAGACATAAAAAAATACGAAGAAATTACTCTGAATAACAAAACCCAAGAATCAAATAAGTAATCCTAAACCTAGGAAACGTAAACAGTAACAGAAAACATATGTATATACAGAACAATGTAAGTAGGCTATAGATTGAGAGTAGCTGACCATTTTGTTGGTGGTGAACGAGGATCGATAAGTCGGCGCCTTCCTCTCTCCGCCTCTCTCAGTCGTGTACGAGTTGAAAGGTGTGGAGATGAGCTTACAACCCTAGCTCCGTGTTCATATATCGCGTCTCTTCTAAGGGCAACTTAGGGCATTCGCCACAAATTTATAATTCAAACCGGGTAGTTTGTGCCAGTGGAGGAAATTTTGACCATTTAAAAAAAAAAATTGTTATTTTGCTCAAATGTTCGACATCCTCTCACATGTCGTTGATTTTACATGGATAAAAAAGTTTCAAAAAAATGTGGGATCCCCACCATTATGAGAGTTGGTCACCACCTCTATCAAAAAAATTCGAACACTTTAACGGGATTGAAAAAAAAAATGACACAACAAAATTTACTTGTTGTACCACATTTTTAATCAATTTTTTCATTTACTTAAATCACCTCGAGTAGAATTACTTAATTACCCACAATTTTATATAAATTCTTAACGTAAGCATTTTTTTTTTAATATAATACATCACAATCATGATCAGAGTATCCTTTTAGCTTATACCGTCGCTATCATTACCTCCTCCTTCTTCTCCATCGACAACTTTATGAAGAAGAAGAAAAGGAAGCAAGAGGGCGTCCCTTCTCTCAACTCCAATACTACGTCATCTTGTTTGCTCACCTCTCTTCATTCTCTCTCTACAATCTACTGAATCAACTTCTAAAGAGTGATGATAACTATCGGTAGGGATTTTGTCAAATAAAGGCCTTGTACACCAAACATTAGTGACTTCTAAACCCATTTTCTAGCCCTTCTCTCTCCAAAAACCCACCATACTATATGAACATATATAAACCTATAATCCACACACAAGCATCTTGTTCATCGTAATTGTAATTGCAGT